GCCCCCAGCACCCTCCAGTCTCTGCTCTTCTCTCGGGCTTGGCCCTCTGCGGTGGCCTTCCTGCCCTCATTCCTCTCCGGCCGCCTGGCTCCCAGCTGCCCCTCAGAGCTGCACTGGACCGCAGGGCCCCAGGGAGGCCCAGGCCGCCTGCTCCCGGGGCCTCCCCCTCCTCTGACACAGATGGGGGGCTGTGATCACCCACCAGGAACCCCACCGGAACAGCTGTCTGCGTTTGCCTTCTTCGCTGCCCCCATCCCCACAGCCCCTCGCCCACGGGCAACCCAGTACGTGTCGCTGAATGAAATGAAAGTCCTCCAGCAAGATCCTGACATGAGGGGGGTTGAGTAGTTTTGGTTAAACAGACTGAAATATCAGATCAATGGCCAAAATGAAGCAGCGCTGCCGGTGGCCAGGAGGGGGCGCTAGCACGTGGCGGCCCCTGCCCCTGCCCCTGCCGGGAGCCAGGTCCAGCTGCTGGGGAGATTGGCCAGACCTGCCCTGCCCGCCTGGGGGTGGGGGGGCGCCATCTGCTCATTCGTTGAAGCCCCGTGAAAATAAAGCTTTTCGGTGACCACAGCTTCCCCAGCTACCCTTGAACAGCCGGGCTTGGCGCTCGGCACGTTTCCGTGTTTTCCGATGCAGCCTGGTCGTCCGCAGGCGCAGTTTATGACTTCTGTGCTGGCTGGACTTGCAGTCCCCGGAAGAGCAGCCCACTCACGCATTAAATCCAGGCGGTCGCTGGCAGCACCCGCGAGGGCCTGGGTCTCAGGAGCCTGGCACAGACCCCGCACCACGGGGTAGAGCAGCCCAGTTCTTGAAGCAAAAAAGACACGACATGTCCTCTGACGAGTGGATGGCTCGAAGCTGTGCTCTCGTGGCCGCCTCGGTGGCCGTGTGGCGCGGTGTGGGCTGTCACGAGCCCCAGGCAGGCCCTGATCCCTCCACCCTCAGGCCACCTGACAGGAGGCCACTGTGGCCGTGTCCCCCGCAGTCGGGGGAGGGCCCCTCTCGCCCCCGGCGGGGTGAACCCCGCAGACCCATCAAGCCGGGGTCTGCTGGGCCTGGCCGTCTACCCCGAGTGTGGCTCCGTTTAGGCCGCATCCTGGTCCTCACTGGGCCCCCGCCGCTGCCTGTCCGCGACCCACCCTGCGCTCTGAGTCGCGGCCACCACGCTTTCCCACCCCAGCACTGCTTGGCTGTGCCGCACTTTCCCTCCCTCCCTCGCTCTGCGCCGGGCTGTGGCACGCAGTCGGTCTGCTCGCTGCTCGCTGCTGCCCTGACTGACTCCGCGCTGAGGGCCGGGGACGGGTCCTGCGCACGACTGGCAATCAGGGCCTGTCCACTTGGAATTTCTCTCACGCTTAGTGTGAGAGTGTAACCTTTTCCTTTTGCAATATCATTCTAGGTTTTTGGAGATACATTTTTTCCCTTAGAAAGAAGCCCAAGAGACCCCAAAAAAATGTCCAGAAACACTACCCTGGGAGCCTCCTTAAGTACGCCAGCGTGAGGGACCCTGTGCCTAGAGGCACAGTTCACCTGCATTCACCTTAGGGAAGCAACAGGTAGGCGTTCGCTCTTTTGTTTTGTTTTGTTTTTTAGATTTATTTATCTATTTATGCATACAAGAGCTGGGGTGCAGGCCAGAGGTGGGGGTGAGAGGACTCATCAGAGAGAGCGGGGAGCAGAACAGGTGGACTCACCAAGTACACTGCTGAGGGGAGCAGCAGGGAGACAAGAGAGTGCCCTGTGCCCTGTGGGTCACTCCCTGGCCAGGGATGGACTCAGGCCACAGCGCGGCCTGAGAACAGCACCCTTCACCACTGCGCCACGAAGGAGGCCCCACCTGTTGGTTCCTGGCAGGTCAGTGTGGAAAGTGGTATTTGGGAGACTGTTACAGAGAGCCCAGGGCATACACGCCCCTCATGGAGCCCCAGAAGCGAGACTTGGGCTAACTGGGCTTGTGCATGAAAGCATAGCCGCCCACACGGGGGCCCGGACAGACCCTCACGCAGGTAGGTAATGCAGGTGTACATTTTAGAACAGTTCTGGGGAACCTAGAAATGGCAGAACTCTGCGAATATTCAGTCTCTTTGGTAGGTGTCATTTGTGTTACCCACAAGTAATTCTTTTGCTGCTTCTTCCTAATGAGATCCACCTGAGATCACATGGCCTGTGTCACAAATCGCCCCAAAACTTCACAGTTTAAGGGCCTCCCTGGTGGCAAAAGGAGTTCAGTCTCAGCACTGGGAAGCTGCCCGCAGCCCCTGCAGCACAGGTCCTATCCCCGGCCAGGGAGGGACCCCTGGGCGCAGCAGGCCCCTCCTGTCTCCCCACGGCTCCCCTCAGCCGTGTGCGTTGGTGGATCTGCCTGTTCTGCTCCCCACGGTCTCTGGCCCCTGCAGCTCTGGCCTACAGCCTGGCTCTTGAATGCATAAGTAAACAAACCTTTAAAAAACTTCAGTTTAAAACAACAGTGTGGCTGGCCCCACTGCTGTGAAAAAGTCATGGTGTATGAAAACCAGTGGATTATGAACTCAAGAAACTCAGGAAAACATGGCATTGTGTAGGGGTTTGTTTTGTTTTGTTTTGTTTTCCTTTCAAAGTCAATAGGCATTCAGAAAGCTTCTGTGAACCAAAAGAAGCGATTTGGTATTCGCTGTTCCTCCACTTTCTGCAAGGTCACTGCTGGCTTTGGTCCCCACACCAGACGCCCTCTGCTCTCGGGTGCTTCTCCAGCTCTGCCATGAGCGCTTGCTGCTTGCATCGCTGCTCACTCTGTCCCTCAGGTCACGCGCCTGGCCACAGGGGCCCTATGGCCGGAAGCCCGCTACGGTCTCTGAGCGGTGACTGCAGTACCCCGCACTCACTGGCCTGCTCGCCTGAGACCACCTGGCCCGGTTTACCCGGAGGCTGGTGACCCCCTTGTCAGAGGCGACGCCCTGAATACCAGGACAGTTGTCATGCTGTGCACGGCCATTTCCGCACCAGCCCATTTTAGTGACGTGGACGCCGTGAAGGTTCTGATGAGTCCCTGGGGGGGAGACAGGAGGCAGCCCCGGAAGCTTGCGCCCTTTCCCTGGCATTCTCGCGCCTTCCGTCTGCTGGCCCCTCCGCAGTGTGGTCCCTGCGTCCTGTGCCTGCCTTCAGCAGCGCCCCCAGCCACTGCCCCGAGCCTTGAGGAACGCTGTGTGAGGCACCGAGACACCTTTCCCGTTTAGTGAGCTCCCCAGCCCCTCGGAACATGAGCTGCAATGACAGTTCCTGGTTCTGAGCGTTGCCTACTTAATTCTCAGCCAGCGGTGGGTCCGTGGACCCAGGAACTTGCTGATCGCTTTTGTTGGGCGACCGGGGTGAGCGCACACTAACCAATGCCCGCGCCTGGACCGTGCGTTTTAGAGGTCTGTTGAACGCAAGCTGACAACAGCCGTGAATGTAGATGCAGATTAGACAGAGTTCTCTACGCGCCCCTGGCTCGCGGTCTGTGGTCCGACCCTACTTTGGCCGGTCAGTGAGGAACCCACCCGGTGGCTGAGGTGGCGAGCCCACTAGACAGGAGGGTGGTGCTCGCTACCATTCTAACCGGTTGTGACTTTTCAAGCCCTTGAAGGAGCTGCGCCCGGGCCTCCGGCTGCAGATCCCTACAAAACAGACCCTCAGGAGCCAGCAGGAGCGGAGTGACCAGCAGCACCGCCGCCGAGGACGGCGGCCGAAGACCACGCGGAGGCGGACGGCGCCAGCGGCCCTGGCCACAGTCAGTGGGTGGGGCCTCGCGGGTCGCTCACCTGGGGGCGGCGGGGGGCGGGTTTGCAGGCCCCAGGCCTCAGTGGCTGGCGGGCCCCCTGGAGCCTGCTCTCCCGGGTGGACCAGGCCGTTAGTGAGAGACTGGCGCGGGCCGCGGCCCGCTCACCTGGGCAGTCAGCGGCTTTAGCCCTGGAACACGTGACTCGGCGGGACTCTTTTTTCAAAAGCTGTGGGTGGGGCCCAGCTTGCACCTCACTGGGTTCAAGCGTGCTGCAGGCCCCGGCGGGCGGGGAAGGACTCAGCCCTCGCCAGAGGCTTCCAGGCCTTTAAGGGTGACCCGGGGAAACTGGGCGCCCAACCTCCCCCAACCTCTCTTCCCACCCCCCACCTCGTGAGTCTCCTGCATGCCAGCTCGGGCCATCTGGTGCTCTGGTCCTCTCTCAGGGGCCCCACGGCCGCCGCTGTCCCTGCTCGTTGGGCCCAGGCGCCGGCGCCCCCGGCCGGTGCCACAGCCTGGGAGGTGTGCCAGCGGGCTGGGCGCCCACGGGGTGGTGCAGGGGGCACCAAAAAGCCTGACTGAACCCCTGCAGCCCACACTCACAACTCGCTAGTGTAATCTCCGCCGGAGGACACCTCTTTCCCGTCACCTCCCCTCTCCCTGTCACCTCCGCTCACTGCCGTGCCTGTCTCCGCTTCCGAGGGGGAGAGGGAACTGGTGACCCTCTTCCGTCCGGGGCGGGGCTTTGAGCTCATGCCCTCAGCTGTGGCAGCGCTGGCCCCAGCCTCACTGGCAGGGGCAGATGACTTAGGTCAAATTGGGCCCCTGCCGCTCTGGCTGGGGGAACTTGGCCGAGCCCTCGGGCTTAGCGCCGCCCGTGAGGCGCTCGGCCAGCACCCACCTCTGCACGCGCCCGCAGCAGGCATGGGGACCCTCACGGGGCTGTGTGCGGGCCTGAACCTGGGCGGCCTGTGGGCTGGGAGCTCTCGGCCAGGGAGGTGCGTCCAGCAGCTGCTCTGGTCACGTGCACGGCCCTGCCCACCACCGAGCAGCCGGGTGTCCTCCAGAATCTCTCCCGGGCGGGGAAGCCGGCACCGTTGGCAGCTCGGAGGGACAGTCCCCTGGCTGCCCCCATCAGCCCCATCGCACGGCCACCCCCGACCCAGGCCACACCCCGGCCACCGCCTTCCTGACGTCTCGCCCGCCGGCCTGCCGGCGTTGCTCTGACAGGCAGGGTGTTCTGACCCCTCACCGAGGGGAGCTCGGAGGTGTTTGCACCAAGACTCCAACGGGGGGCGCCCGTGGGCCACCCCCCAGTGCATTTCATTGGGGCAGGGGCGGGGCGCTGGAAGGCCGAGCCAGTGCAGAAAGAGCCACAAATAGAAGTGAAAACGATGGCCTCAGGCTAGTTTCTAATGGGGGCCGAAGAGACTGCACAGCTGAGGGAGAAAAAACCAGAAGCAGGCAGAGCGTGCCGGGCTCCTGTTGAGGACGGGCCAGCTGCTGGTCTGCGGCCCCCCAGGAGGGTCCTGCCACTCTTCCTTGAGAACAAGAGAACTGAGAGCGTCCGATGAAATAGCCACAGCCCCTCCAGAGGCCAAGAGGACGTGTCCCTTTGTCTCAGATGCCGCCGCAGCGGGCCCGGCGACAGCCACGCAGCCCGGCGTGGCCACCGGCCGTCACGCTGACTTCCTGTTCCTCCGCGTCACGTGGCTGAGGGGGCTTGTCGAAGGCCACCGTGTGCCCACACTGGAACCGCTGATTCCCGCCCGGGTCGGGGGCCAGGCACCCGTGGTCGCGGGTGAGCCACCTTGGGGCGGCCCCGGCTGCTCCCAGAGGCCTTTCCCACCGGACGTCTGGGCTCAGGGGACCCAGATCTCAACCGAGGGCTCCCGTCCCCCCCCCATCGTCCCTGGAGCCGGTCAGGAAGCTGGGTGGACACGGGGCCTCCGGGGGCCGTGCAGGAAGCCCCCAGGAGAGGCACCGTCACCCACCGTTTGGTCAGGACTTTCAGGTGACCACCTTAAGTCCACCCCAGGGACTGAAGGACCCAGCGGAAGTAAAACGGGGTCACTGTGCTCTGACTGTCAAACAGGCTCCCCAGGCGAGAGGCTGAGGAGTTTTAGCGCCTGGGGGCCTGGCGCCCGTGTGAAGCCAGCCCCAGCTCGGAGGAGTGATTCGCTGAAGTGAAGCATCCTGGCCCGCCAGCAGGGATGCTGTGTTTGAATTGCCACGACTTGGCTTCCCGTGACTCAGACTCCCCCGGGGAGGAAGGCACTGTTCTGCACTGCGTCGGCTTCCCGGAGATGCCGGGCGGGCGGGCGCTGCAAGTGCGGGGAACCGCCGGACAGAAGCGGGCTGAGGACAGGGGAGCGCCCGGCTGTGGCTGGGACCGGCCCTCCCTCCTCTGGGCGATGTAACACAGGCGCGGAGTCGCTCGCCCGAGTCTGCCTGGGACCTGGCAGCAGAGCAGCCCGTGAGGCCCCGGCCCCATCGCAGAGGACGCGCGACTGGGAGGTGTCACGTGTCCCTGGGTAGAGGCAGTCACACCTTCCAGTTTCCGTTTTGCTTTTTGCTTTCCAACATATTTCCTTGAAGTCTATTTTTACTACTGTTTTAGTTCCCTAGTTAGATGTTGATTTTCACATTAAAAATGGATCTACCAGGGAGCCCAAGGGGTTAGAGCCCCACATCATGAAGCTCTCCAAAACCACTGCAGCTCCATTCGATCCCCGCCTGCCCCGGAGGTGACCCCATGGCGCGGCAGACCTCTCCTGGCCGCCCGCTGCCCCCTCAGCAGTGTGCTTCCTCCATCTGCCTGTTCTGCGCCCCGCTCTGTCTCTGGGGAAGCCTCTCACCCACCACACCTCTGGCCTAGTCTCCAGTTTTGTGAGCCTAAATAATTTTTTTTTTAAATAGCTCTACCACAGATGCAGCAGCTTCACTCCTAGGTAGCTATCTGAGGAGGGTAAAAACACGAAGTCAAGGGGCTCTCTGCGCTCCTCTGTCCATAGCCAAGCCGCAGAAGCAGCTACGTGCCGACGTGCCGAGCCCAGGTGAGTGGGGAAGAAGCTGTGGGCTAGACACACAATGGAATTCTACCACCTCTAGAAGAGCTCGTGCTGCTGGCAACAATGTGGATGAAACTGGAGAGGGTGATGCTAAGAGAAGTCAGGAGGAGAGAGACAGCGGTGGGATTGCTTCAGTTATATGGAGTAGAAAGCAAGCAAAGGAACAAAGCTGACCCTGGCCTCTGATGGCCGAAGGAGAGAGGAGGCGTTAGGAGAGAGGAGGCGGTGCGGGGGCCAGTGCCGGCCTTCCGCGGTGGGTGGTGACCTGTGCTCTGAGTCACCGCGCCTAGTAAACCAGTGTTACCTCAATGAAGAAGAAGAATGACAGTATTCTAAAAATGCATTTGGATGTTCACTTGGAAAAGTTTTGTAATAGTTACTTTTGCTTTTCCAAATTCATTATTTGCAAAAGTTTGAGTGTGGATAAAAATAGAGTCAGTGCTTTATTAAACAAGTGTACATTTGCCGGGCCCTCCCTGGTGGCGCAGCGGGTAAAGCACAGCACTAAGAAGCTAAAGCCACTGCAGCATGAGTTCGATCCCCGTCAGGAGGTGCGGCAGACCTCTCCTGGCCCGCCCGCTGCTCCCCTCGGCAGTGTGCTTCGTCAGTCGGCCTGTTCCACTCCCCACTCTGCCTCTGGAGAGTCCTCTCACCACCCCTGCACCTCTGTTCTATACCCCAGTTCTATATGCATAAATAAATAAATCTCAAATATATATATATATATATATATTTTCCATGTGGTGAACTTTTTTCTTCAAAAAAGTTGCAATCCCTGCCTGATTTGTCTGTGTAAATCAATTCCTTCCTTTGAATTCCTTCTTCTGTAGTCGTGCAGTATAAGGTCACTTAGGGAAATTGTATTAATTTTATAGTAATCTAAGTAAAGCATCTAAAGGAATGCAACTTTCCTGAATTAAACCTTATACTCTCGGTTCAAGCTTACATAACTGGAAGCGATTATTACTCTTAACTGTGAAACAAGCACTGGCTCTGGAAAAGAGTGGACTGACGTGTGGTGTGTGTGTGGTGTCCGAACGTGTCATTCAGCTTTAGTGAGTAAAGTGTATCTATCTTGACAAATATGTCTGCTTTTCCCAAGGGTTGCATTTCACACCAGACTTACCAAATACTGACGTTTTCTTTAGTTCTGATCAAGGCAGAAAACCTCAACCAATAGCCAGATTCAGAGCATGAGAGTGTAAAGAGGTCGGTCTTTGATCGGCGTCACCTCGTGGGAGGGAACTTTATCTTACATTGCCTGTGACAATGATCTCACTGAAGTTTGGCCTCAGGTTCTTATCTTTTACGAGGAATACTGTAAAAACTAAGATTCTTCCAGAAGATATTTCAAAGTAATGTTTCGCTCCACTTTCCTAACTGCCCACTCATAGTTACATAAAGCAGATTCATTTTATTGTCCATAGCTCTAAATCTAAAAATACTTTTCTCCTGTTAGGTCCTTTACTATGTCTTTGGCTGATACAACAGAGATAAATGTAGATGAGCATTTCCCCGGTGTGACTCTAGAAAGCGCTGGGCAGTCTGCAGAGAGAAGCCCAGACACAAGCAATTTTCCCAGGAACGGTAACACTTCCGATAAGAGTGTTGATTACAGCAGGTCACAGTGCTCCTGTGGAAGCTTAAATTCTCACTATGATTATTCAGAAGAGTTTCTCTCGGAATGTTCAGAAACAGCTAACAGAAACTGCGTAGAGAAGCTGGCGGTCAGCGAAAGCAAGGAGGAGAAGAAAAACTATGTTTCTAAGCTCTCCCAACCTAAAGGTAAGAAAGGAAATGCCAACCGAGGCCTGACGTCCAGTGACGTCCAGTGACCCCGACTTAACGCACTCTCACTGGAAGCTCTCCATATTCAGTTCTGTCGTTTCTCTGTAGCAGACGTGTGTTTCACTGTTTGTGTGTTAGTGTGCTTTCATAGACGGAATTCGGAAACAGAGGGAGAAGAGTCTGCTGACCGGAGGGCTCGGCGGAACTCTGACGCCGGCCTCTCCCGGGGCGGCCGTGCTGGAGCCTGCTAGTGAGGCGGTTCGCTCTTCAGTTAACAGGTGGCCTTGTTTCCGAGTACCACAGTGCTTGGATTTCAGTGTCTTCTTGCCTTTCATCTCAGCTGGACAGCCACGGCTTGACTTGCCGATGCAGCATAAATACCTGTCTCAGCACCCCAGGAAGATGGCCCCCAAGCCCGGTGAGACATGCTGGCAGGGTGCTTCCGCAGGCTGTTCCTGTCGTTCCCCTGACCGCACGTGGGATCGGCCTCTGGCGTTGGTGACCAGGTGGCGTCCTCCCGAGGCGGGCAGTGCGGGGCTGGCAAATACTCCTGCAGGAGTCACTGGGGCTCGTCCCCACTTTGACCGTCAACTGCCGTCATTCGAGAGTTGGAAAGCACTCAACGTGGGGGCCGGCCCCGCCTGGGCCACGTGCCCTGCCAGGGCTACCTGCTTCCCGCCGTTCCCCCGCTCTGGGCTCCATCTGCCCCTGGAGTCCTCAGGCCCCGTCGTCCTGCCGCAGCACAGGGATTCCTAACTAAGACCCACGTCTGCACACCGTGGCTCGTGTGCCTGCTGGTCCACCTGCCTTTGGGGGTTTTTCTAAGAAGGCCCTTGGGCTTGCACCGGATCCTCAGCAGCTTAAAGTGCCCTTTTCTAGAAGAATGAAGGCCCCTGCACCCCCTGGCAAGACCTAAAGCCAGCGATGAAAAGCCCAGTGCCTTGTCTCACGGTGGACTCTCAAAAGAGACCATCGCAAGGCACACTCTGCTTGCACACCGCAGATCCGCCGTCCCGGGGCCACGTTTAGACTTACTGAGCTCTGAAAACCAAAAATGTTTCATATCTTTGGCAACAAAACTGATTTGGCCACACTAGCCAGTTTGCACTGACACTGAGTGTTGTCATTTCCCCCCGACCCCAAGCTGCCCGTTTCCGTCGGCGCCCGCTTTCTGTCCCAGGCAGACTCCCCTTTCCACCACCAATACCAAATGCAGCCGGCCGTGTCTCGGAGTCGCCAGGGCCCAAGGCTGGGCCTCAGCGGCTGCGGTCACTAAGACCCCTGCACTCGCCAGGGAAGGGCCAGCTGGTTTTTAGACTGTAGAGTGCGGCCGCAGCCGCCGCTCAGAATATGTATGCCGGCCCCTGCGTGCACGTGCACACACCCATACGCCTCCAGGCGCACACAGACGAGGCGGCAGGGTCAGCCCAGTCATCTTTAGAGTGGGATGACCGTGCACGGACATCTGGCACACCACGTTGGTGCTAAAAGCGTGATGTAATATCGTTTAGACACTTTTTATTTAAAATAGATGCCTAAGCACCAGCCAGGCCACCGGCTCCTCACACCCAGCCACTCACCGAGGACACGCACGACCCATCGCCAGCTGGGGTCTCTGTCCACCTAGCTAACCTATGGAAAGCCTTTTGAAGGGCCTTTCTGTGAGATCTTCGGACACGTCTGGCTCCAGCGCCTCGTTCTCACTCTGCCTTGTGTGTGTTACCAGGCTGGAGACAGCCTGCCGGTCAGTGCCTAACGTGGAGACAGGGTGACCTGTTGCCGTGTTTTCAGTAAGCTTTTAGAACAGGAGTCCAGACTGTAGAGACAAGACTGGTCTCCTGTCCACTCAGTGTCACTGTGGCTATGTAACTGTGGACAGATGCCATAAACCACTCCGCTTTAAGCTAGACTACACCGACCTTAAAGACTGGGGTGAAGGGGGTTCTTTCCCGCCCTAGCTGGCATGTGGCGGGGTGCCTGTGTGTATATTCACATATCTGCATATTACTAACCAACTGGATTATCTGCTTACACAGGCCTAGAAGTCTCCATGGAGAAAAGGCACAACTGCAAGCCCCCTGTTTCCAATTCTCAAGCCCACGGGACCCAGAGGAGAGATGCCATGACTCACCGCATCCTCTCTGCAAGGCTTCACAAGATCAAGGAGCTGAAGAATGAACTCACTGACATACATCGCAAGCTGGAAATCACAGTCATAGAAAACAAGTTTCTGAAACAAGTTCAGCTGAGGCACCTGAGAGCTATTGGAAAGTACGAGAATTCACAGAATAACCTCCCTCAGATTGTAGCTAAACATCAGAACGAAGTGAAAAATTTAAGGCAGCTGCTTAGGAAATCCCAGGCAAAGGAAAGAGCCGTATCCAGGAAACTGCGAGAAACGGACAGTGAGCTGCTCCGGACGAGAGACACTCTGCAGGCGCTGCAGAGACTGTCTGAGGACAAGAGCCTGGCAGAGAGGGAGGAGCTCACGCAAAGGCTGTCTAGTCTTACCACCAAAATGGAGGCAAATGACAAAAAAATCCAGGTCTGTATTTCAGAGGCCTAGGACTTTTAGGGTTCCAAAATTAACACTGGGATGGTGCCCGGGGTCCTGTCTGCCCCTGTGGTGAGTGGAGCATGACCAGGTGGCCCCTTGGCTGGCTGTTGCCTTCCAAATGGACGATGCTGTCATGGCGATACGGGTGGGAGCAGGAGGTGAGAAGGGAAGACATGAACAGCTCAGGGCTGCAAACGGGCCGCTGTTGTCCAGAGCCAGAGCCCACTCCGAGGTAACCTGACTCACTCTGAGGTGACCAGGCTCAATCCGAGGTGACCGAGCCCACTCCGAGGTGACTAGGCTCACTCCGAGGTGACAGAGCCCACTCCGTGGTGACCAGGCCCACTCTGAGGTGACCAGGCCCAAACTCCAAGGTGACCAGGCTCACTCCAAGGTGACCAGGCCCACTCCGAAGTGACCAGGCTCACTCTGAGGTGACAGAGCCCACTCTGAGATAACCGGGCTCACTCCGAGGTGACAGAAGCTCACTCTGAGGTGACCAGGCTCACTCCGAGATAACAGAGCCCACTCCATGGTGACTAGATCCACTCTGAGGTGACCAGGCCCAAACTCCGAGGTGACCAGGCTCACTCTGAAGTGATCAGGCTCATCTGAGGTGACAGAGCCCACACCGTGGTGACCAGGCTCACTCCAAGTTGACAAACTCCACTTTGTGGAGACCAGGCTCACTCTGAGGTCACAGAGCCCACTCCAAGGTGACCAGGCTCACTCCATGGTGACCAGTGTCACTCTGAGGAGACCAGGCTCACTCCGAGGTGACCAGACACACCGTGAGGTGACAGAGCTCACTCTGAGGTGACCAGACTCACCATGAGGTGACCAGGCCCACTGTGAGGTGACAGAGCCCACTCTGAGGTGACTGGGCTCACCCTGAGGTGACCAGGCTCACGCTGGGGCTGGACTCCTTTCTCTGGAAGTGACATCCACTGACAGCCATTACAGGTACCAGGCGAGCCTTCATTTGCAGGAAGGCTTACGTGCTGTTTGGAAACTCTGCAGACTGCTCATGGAAAGGCTCGTCCCTGAAGCCCAAGCGAGCGTGTCCTCGGCCCTCCGGAGGTAGAGCAGCTTCCTCCTTTTGTGACAGGGCCGTGTAGACATTTTCAGTGTCCGGGGAGGAGGCCTTTCTCCCAGCTAGTGCTCCTGCAAACAGAGGGGAGAAACCAAAGTGCTGGAGAAGAGTCGGGGTGACTTGGGCAAACACTCGTGTCGAGGAGCTTGGCCTCACTGACTTTTGTCTTTGGACGCGATGGGCAGAACCATACCTGGACTTGCCGCTTGATTCCTTGATATATGATGGTGCCAGGCAGGCATTTCCTGTGACCTTGAAATAATAAGAAATGCTACGTCCACTTCAGCCACTGGTTACCTCAGTTATTTCATCGTTGGTAACATCCTGCCCTATTTTTCAAAGGGAATTTTCTCACCTAAAATGAATATGAGCGACAAAATAATGAGCAAGCTTGCTTTTCTCGCTCGGGACCATATTCAGAGTTCCACTCTGGACCTGTGAGGGGAGACCGACTTCGCCCTAGCGGGCGTCTGCACGTAAATGTATTTTTCTCTCTTCTAGATATTTTTACATGTCAGTGTCGCCATAGCCATGGTTTTACCTCTACAGGCAAAAGGAAATCAAAAACGAGTTACGTTCTTGTCAGAAGCACTTGATCTTGCGGGAGTTTCTTATTTGGTGGTGCAGCCTTGGGGGTGGCGCTGGGGTCCCCCGTGCTCGTTTTAATGGTAGTATTTAAGTAGGGTTCTTAGTGCCTATGGTAGTCTTCTAACTTTGCACATTTTCCACTTTAATAAGGAAGTTTTCCTGCTCTAAGCGAGGAAACCAGAATTTATGTTAAAAAGGAAAGAAAGGAGGGACAGAAAGCGGCCTCTGGCCAAGCCTCCTGCCAGCCCCACAGAGCCCCTGTCCTCAGCCTGAGGCCGAGCGGGCCCAGGGCCGCCCTGAGGCCGCCCAGGCACCTGTCTGGACCCCTGGGGTCTGCAGCGCTGCAGGCGGCTAGACAGCCCATACCCCGGGGTGGAAGGGTGTTCTCTCTGAAGGTGCCTCACAAGGCAGTGCCTGGAACACTCCCCTTGGTACACCTGCACAGGTGAAGCTGCCTGCGTGTGTCCCCCAAAAAGGAACAGGCTCAGAACACATGACGCTTATCCTCTGGACTTGGGCCTGGGCTATGGCTACTCTGTCATTGTCCTACTCCCTTCTAAGTCCCCTTCCCCGTTGCCGGCCGGCCACGAGATCGCCCTGGAAACCCACTCTTCTCCATGTAGTTAGCTGCCACCATCCAAGTTCTCACTCACACGACACGGGGAACAGACAGCTGACGTGTACACTGTTTTCAGAGCTTGGAGAAACAGCTGAGGCTGAACAATAAAGCCTTTAGCCGCCAGCTGGCCGCGGAGAACCGGAAGACGGCGGCGGCACAGACGGCCACGCGGACCCTGCAGACGGAGGTGACGCGCCTGCAGCTGAGACTCAAGGTGCGTCTCCGCCCCCAAGAGCACAGCGACAGGCCACTGTCGCTTCAGTTATCTCACTGCAGGAATAGGCTTCTCGAATGACCTGCAACATATGGTAGCTAGAAGGCCTGAGGTTGGTAGAACTTACTAGAATGAGGTAGCAGCCTGGTAGACTCCAGCTAGGATTAGAAAAATTAAAACTCTCCCCTAACAAGACTAATTAGCTTTTTGAGCTCATAACATGAAGTAATATTAGTGCATGTTGCTAACATTTTAATGTAATCCCAAATAAGCTTTTCAATGTTACATTTAACTTATGACATTAAAATATCGGGGGTAATTTTAATGGCCCAGAGATTTTTTTTTTTAGTTTCCCTTGGATATGGCTTGCAAAGTTGCCTTTTAATGTATGCTTTATCCTTTAAAAATGGGTATTAGAAATATTTAATTTGGGGGGGGCTTTTGCTATCATTTTGCCTTAATAAGCAAAGTCGAACATTTCTAAAATGTCCAACAAGTTGGAAAAGTGAGTTACGACACTTCAGAGATACAGCCCTTTAAAGCCTCAACCAGTAAATCCCGGCTTGTTTCTTTGAGACGAGACTTTCACTTATAAACAAGAAGGGAATTCGCATCGCCCAGCTGCTTGAAAGGACCTGAGGGGAGAAGATGGATGCGGACACCCTCTTTGAAAGGCGGGGAAAAGAGTTCTGAGCCTCAGGAGACTTCAGGGAGAAGAATGTGCCAGAAAACAGGCATGGCCGTGGCAGCCACCTTAGAACAGAAGAGAAGAGACCTCGAGATCTACTGGCCAAGGCAAACGCACCCGCAGACACACACGCACACGCACGCTGAGGGGATTTTAAAATCAACTTTGTGCTTTTGTATGTATCCACGGGCATGTGAGCAGTATGTGCTCGTCAAGAAGTGCTGACCAGGCTGGGGACAGAGGGGGGAGCAGGACACACTGCTGAGGGAAGGGGGTGGGGGGAGGGGCCTGCCGCGCCCTAGGGTCACTCCCTGGCCGGGGCTGGGACTCCCGTCACAGTGGCTAGTGGCAGTGGACGGCTTCATAGTGCTGAGACTTAACCCCTGTGCCACCAGCAAGGCCCATTATTAGGGTTCACTCTTGTATATCCCATGGGTCTCACGTTTAATTTTAAAATTACAAAATGGTATACACAAAAATGAGATCTTCCACTAAGATATTATAACGTGCTCAAAAAAAACAAACAAACAAACAAACAAATGGACCGACACTGAGATAATCTTTGTAACAGATATGTGAGACCCCTATACCGGGTGCAACAATTAAATTAGTTCCTGGTATATCGCAGGAAAATGTATTAAGATGGAAAATGGGTATTGTTATTACAATACAAAACAGACAGTTACGAGCCAGGGAGACCCTACAGGGGAGGGGACAGAGGGGTCGGAAGGAGGAAGGGATGTGGGGGCTGGGGTGATGGGGGGATAAACATTGTTATAAAATGAACAATGATGTAAATAGATACATAAAAAAGAAAAAAAAGGCGGCAAAGAAAAAACAAAACAAAATGTTGACAAAACAAATGCTCAATAATAATGAAATGCTTCATGAAAAGATACAACATTCTACAGAAGTAAGACCCAAGTGTATTTCTGAACAGTCACCAGCGTCCACACGGCCCCCGCGTCTGCGAGGCCTCCCTGGGGGGCAGTGTTGAGGCGCGGCAGGCGGCAGGCACTGCGAGTCCCTCCCGGGCCAGGGAGGCCCCAGGGCACAGCAGACCCCTCCCGACTCCCCGCTGCCCCCCTGGCAGTGGGTTTCAGCCCATCTGCCTGTTCTGCGCCCCACTCTGTCTCTGGGGAGTCCGCTCAACCCCTCACCTCTGGCCTGTACCCCAGTTCTTGGTGCATCCATAAACAAACGTATGGAAATAAAATCAGCCAAGGAGCGCCCTGTGTGCGAGCCGCGAGCCGAGTCGGAGAGGTGAGTGCCCGAGGCACGTGCACCAGCCGACACCCAGTGACAGGGCCTTGTCCTTCTCCTCCTCCACGGTGGCAGCTGCCTGGGCCCTCCCTGCAGAAGCCCCGTGGGCGCCATGGGCTGTGAAAGAAAAGTCACACAGAACTGGGCCCGCAGAGACTTGGGGGTGCGGCGGCCACCGCAGAGGGGCTCTGGAGGCGTGTCCCGCGTGGCACACGTCCGGCCATGCACCCGGCTGCCCACCCTCCACGCACAGGCCCAGGCTGGAGAGCCCAGGCCAGGCTCCCCGGAAGGGGAATGTGTTGCCTGCAAAGAACAGGGCAGCTGCTGTCAGCGTGGCCCCCAGATCAGGCCTCGCAAGAGGCAGTGCTGGAATCTGGGCGCGAGTGACTCCCTCAAAGTGAGGCCGGGCTCACCTGACCCAGAGCACCTGCCGTATCCTCGGGAAGGAGGCCCACCAAGGAAATGGGGTTTCCCAAAGCCGCAGGCGGGCGAAATCGCGTCCAGCCAGCTGTGTCCAGGCAGCCAGCCCCAGGACGAGGAGCCCCGTGACCAGGAGCCCTGTGGCAGCCACGCCCACGGAGTCACAGCCCACACAGAAGAGCCCGCGCCCACACAGTGGGAATGGGGGGTGCAGCAGACGGAGACGTGATTGCCAGCATGTAAAATTCAATAGAAAAGGTAAAGAAGACGAAGGACTCTGAAAAATCTCCGAAAAACAGAGAGCCAGAAAGTGAGATGAGACAGACACGGAAACAAGACTCCGGGAGGCCTGTTGCCGCTGGCCGGAAGGACAGTCCCAGGGCCATGAGTGCGGCTGTGCAGGCCCCGTGGGCGCCGGCACCCTGCACCCCGCTGCCTCCTGCACCCTGATGCACCCTCCGCCTGGCCACAGGCCCCCTGCCTCGCGCCAGCTCGCCCTTCCGACTGACCGCCGCTGGACGCTGGCACGCCTGCCCCTCTGGGTGAGGGATGGGGTCAAGTCCCCAGAAGACCTGCCGCCCGACACTTTCCAGCCGTCACCAAGTGCCCCCGGCCCCTCAACTTCCCTGGGCTCGTGGATTCGCCCTACGCAGCGCCAGGCGCTGGAGGAAGGTCCTCTCCCGCTCACTGCTCTCGGCGCTCCCCTCCCTTCCCCCGGGCTTTGCTCTCCAGCCGGGCAGACACCTTCCACACCCCGCCCACCTCTCTGCCAGGTGTGACCAGAGCTGATGGGCCTGGCTGCGTCCCTGGACTCGCCTCCCAGGGACCACGTGAGGAGGACTGTGTGGTCCTTTCTCTGTCCTCCACTAGCCAGGATTTCAGCCGTCTTGTTTTGCCAAAGTCAGCTGGACGTGGTGCGGGGAGGCGCTGCGCTGACCCAGGCCTGGCCTGCGAGCCCCCTGGGGCCCGTGGGATGGAGCAGCCTCTCCACTGCCCCCACCTGGGCACGGCCATGTGGCTGCTGAGCTCCTGACGTGCGGGTGGTGTGACTGTGGCCGGAGCTGTCATTTTGGCATTTTGATTAGTTGAAGTCACCAAGCGGCTCCAGACGCACAGAACGATGACCTGGCACAGACCCAGCAGGCATAGCGAATGCCGCCTGGGCGAGCCCGGGCATCCTCGGAGTCGGGCATGATCTGTAATGTCGTGGCCTGATTCTGCTAGAACCTAGCGTGTATTTAAAGAATATTGAGTTTATTTGAAATCGAAGTTAGTAAAAGCAACCATTCACAGAAAAACGGCACTGCGCTTCTCTCTAGGAGAAAGATCGAGAGCTTGAAATCAGAAACATCTACACGAATCGGATACTGAAAAATTTACATCACAAAGAAGATTATCCCAAAGGTACGTGTTCATTATTTCTGCCCACGCCTATTTTTCAGGTTTTCCTAATGGGTCTCACCAGAACACTGGTTATTCTAGGAAAACATTTTACTGGGCACCGGGACTCAGCTTGTGAGTCCGGATGAACGATGAGACGGACGTGGTGGGAACAGCGGGGACGATGGGGCGCGTCCGCCCTTCGTCTGCCGTCCCGCCCACCCTCGCTGCAGGTGGACAGAGGTCACTCCTCAGCTGGAAGCAGAATGCCGGGCAAACAGTGGGCCCTGTTACCAGCGGTGGGCTTGCTCAGTTTCACCTGGGCACCACTTACTCAGTTTCACCTGGGCACCACTTACCTCAATACAAGGGACCTGCATCAAGTGCACCATCAGTGGGTTTTGACAGGTGTCAGGAGCCACCACCCAGCTGAGAGAAGATCGTATGCACCTCTTCCCGAAGCTCCGGGTCCCCGCCGCGACCCCCCTGCCGTCCGGCTTATCTGCCTGCTCTAGAATTTCCTGTGAGTGGGATCACACAGCCTGGGCTCTTCAGGGGCCGGCTGCCGTAGTTCAGCAGGGTGGTTTTGAGATCCACCCGTTGCTGCTGTCATCGCTTTTAGGGCTTCGTGCACTTACAGCCCCCCACACCCCAGCCCCGAGTGAGATTCCACTCAGAAGAGGCATGACGGGTGCACCTGTTTGGGCGGGAGCAGCTGCCTATCGCCTGCTTCCCATCGCCTGCTCTTCCCTGGTTTGCCTGCTTCTGGCCCGTAAGCCAGCAGCGATGAAAGCAAACGGGGGGTCGTTTAAGTGGGGTAATAATCCCAAGGGAGCAGGTCTAGACGTAGTGGAACGGCCCCTGTGGCGCGGGAGGCAGGGCTCGCAGCCTCCAGCTCCTTCTGGAAGCAGGGACGGGCGCTGGGCCCTCACCCTTGCCCCGGGGCCAGCTGGCTTCTCTGCTGCTGAGACTGCCGGAGCCGAGGCGACCCTCCAGGAGAAGGATCAGGGAACAGCAAGGAAATGAAACTGGCAAGTGTTCTATTCTGGAAAATGTCAGCAAATACCCCACGTGCTTTGCTTTATTATTACTCTACAAACTTCAGTGTTATTTCGTGTTTAAAATCAATATGCTTCCAGGTGGCAAACAGGTTGCTCACATATTCATGCACCTCCTGCAGTTTCTTCAACAAAATCAATACAGGTGGACAGGAAAAGCTTTCCATTTACCATTGTGCGACACCAGGAAACCCAAAAATCAGAAGACGTCCCGCCTTTGACAACTAAGGTACAGCAGTCTGCAATCTCTCAGGCTCGATAAGCAAATCCTTACAAAACGAGTTAGACTATAAACAGGTGCTCGTTCTATTACATGTTCTAGACACAAAAAGGCCTGTATTCGCTGAATATCAGGTTAAAATGACCTGTCCTCCAAAAATATGTTTTCACTGCTTCTCTGAATTACAGGGGAAAAAGACAACCGGATACCTGGGCCATAAGGAAAGGTCCAGTGAGATGGCCCGTGCAGCCCCTCCCTGCACCAGTAGGCCAGCCCCCGCAGAAGACTCTAGGAGGACGTGTGCAGGTAACTCGGCAGCTCGCCCGTCTCCTCGTTCTTGCCGCTGTGAAGCCGCGAGCTGGTCTGCGTGGAAGGTCACGTCACCGACGTGCAGTTCAAACAATCGCCCTACGTGTGGCCCCCGCCGTGTGAGGTGGCCGGGGGCTCCCTGCACGGCTGCGGCCCCCCGCCATGCCCTCCTCACTCTCCTCAGCCGTCTCCCCACTGCCAGGGCTGGGGTGAGGGCTGGCGGCTCGGGGCAGCCGCGCTGGGCAGCCCAGCGGTGTCCATGCCGCTTCCGGATCAAAGGGCTACAGAGAAACCTACCTAGCTTCGCCGGTTGGTTCACTACTCCTTCTTGAAACATTTTTCTTTCTCTTGCTAGAATTCCCTTGTTTCCCTGAGTTTAGGTGTTCGATTTGTTTCAGAATGTGTTCCTATGTGAAAACTCCCCAAAGCACAGGACACCCCACGGCCCCCTCGCCCTCTGCCGACCCGCTGCATCCCGTCCTGGGGCCCGGGCCCGTCTGGGCCGCCCGGCTTCCTGGGCCCGGACCGGGCGCGTCTCCCCAGACGGCTTTTTCCTAGCAACACACAGCGCGCCCTCTCCTGCCGGGTCAGACGTCGCCACCTCTCTGCAGCATCTGCCTGGACCCCACAGGCTGCCCCGCTGCCTTTCTCAGCCAGACGCAGATAGGCACACCACGGCGCCCCGGAACAGCCCGACACCCCGCCGGGGGCCGCACCCTTTCCAGCTTCCCCAGACCCCCACCTCATCCGGGGTGCGGCGAGAGAACGACCCTGCTGTCACCCCAGCAGGCACCAGCCCGGCGACGCCGAGCGCCAGCGCGCCACGCAAAGGCCGGGCTCTGCGCTGTACCCGGCGTGTGCCGGCCTCCAGGCGCCCGAGTCCGCCAGCTCCGGGAAAGCTCACGCGCCCCCCGTTGCCGGCGTCTGCTCTTCCTACCCCCCGCTGGTCGGGAGGTGGGGTGAGGGCCGCACCCCTGCCGCCTGGGGGTAGGGGCCCATCCTGAGGTGCAAGTGTAAAACCCACTAAGTGGGTAGCGAAGTGAGCCAGAACGAAAACGAAAAATACCGAAGCTTCACTCATAGCAGCAGCGCAAAGGACCAGGGGCGCAGTAATAATCATCACTAGGACGATGGTGATGAGCGGCTATGACCGCAGACATTTACGGGGTGGGGGGGATGGGGTCAAAAATGGGGGGAGGGACTGCGGTGGTGGCACAGGGTGGTCTGGTGATGAGAAGCCCACGGGGTGACAACTGGTGGGAAAGGCACGAAACAGTGTAAAAATGAGCGATCCCGTTAACAGAAAGATGGCTGAGCGGGTGTCTCTCTGAAACAGATTCCCCGAGGGACGAGGAGAGGCCAGAAGGACCAGCCCCT